AAAAAAATACCTAGAAACAAATGACAATGGAGACACGACAACCCAAAATCTATGTGATGCAGCAAAAGCAGTTCTAAGAGGGAAGTTTACAGCAATACAATCCTACCTTAAGAAACAGGAAACATCTCGAATAAACAACCTAACCTTGCACCTAAAGCAGTTAGAGAAAGAAGAACAAAAAAACCCCAAAGTTAGCAGAAGGAAAGAAATCATAAAAATCAGATCAGAAATAAATGAAAAAGAAATGAAGGAAACGATAGCAAAGATCAATAAAACTAAAAGCTGGTTCTTTGAGAAGATAAACAAAATGGATAAACCATTAGCCAGACTCATCAAGAAAAAAAGGGAGAAGACTCAAATCAATAGAATTAGAAATGAAAAAGGAGAAGTAACAACTGACACTGCAGAAATACAAAAGATCATAAGAGATTACTACAAGCAACTCTATGCCAATAAAATGGACAACCTGGAAGAAATGGACAAATTCTTAGAAATGCACAACCTGCCAAGACTGAATCAGGAAGAAATAGAAAATATGAACAGACCAATCACAAGCACTGAAATTGAAACTGTGATTAAAAATCTTCCAAAACAAAAGCCCAGGACCAGATGGCTTCACAGGCGAATTCTATCAAACATTTAGAGACAAGCTAACACCTATCCTTCTAAAACTCTTCCAAAATATAGCAGAGGGAGAAACACTCTCAAACTCATTCTACGAAGCCACCATCACCTTGATACCAAAACCAGACAAGGACGTCACAAAGAAAGAAAAACTACAGGCCAATATCACTGATGAACATAGATGCAAAAATCCTCAATAAAATACTAGCAAACAGAATCCAACAGCACATTAAAAGGATCATACACCATGATCAAGTGGGGTTTATTCCAGGAATGCAAGGATTCTTCAATATACGCAAAACAACCAATGTGATAAACCATATTAACAAACTGAAGGAGAAAAACCATATGATCATCTCAATAGATGCAGAGAAAGCTTTTGACAAAATTCAACACCGACTTATGATAAAACCCTGCAGAAGGAGGGCATAGAGGGAACTTTCCTCAACATAATAAAGGCCATATATGACAAACCCACAGCCAACATCGTCCTCAATGGTGAAAAACTGAAAGCATTTCCACTAAGATCAGGAACAAGACAAGGTTGCCCACTCTCACCACTCTTATTCAACATAGTTTTGGAAGTTCTAGCCACAGCAATCAGAGAAGAAAAGGAAATAAAAGGAATCCAAATCGGAAAAGAAGAAGTAAAGCTGTCACTGTTTGCAGATGACATGATACTATACATAGAGAATCCTAAAGATGCCACCAGAAAACTACTAGAGCTAATCAGTGAATTTGGTAAAGTTGCAGGATACAAAATTAATGCACAGAAATCTCTGGCATTCCTATACACTAATGATGAAAAATCTGAAAGTGAAATCAAGAAAAAACTCCCATTTACCATTACAACAAAAAGAATAAAATATCTAGGAATAAACCTACCTAAGGAGACAAAAGACCTGTATGCAGAAAATTATAAGACACTGATGAAAGAAATTAAAGATGATACAAATAGATGGAGAGATATACCATGTTCTTGGATTGGAAGAATCCACATTGTGAAAATGACACTACTACCCAAAGCAATCTACAGATTCAATGCAATCCCTATCAAACTACCACTGGTATTTTTCACAGAACTAGAACAAAAAATTTCACAATTTGTATGGAAACACAAAAGACCCCGAATAGCCAAAGCAATCTTGAGAACGAAAAACGGAGCTGGAGGAATCAGGCTCCCTGACTTCAGACTATACTACAAAGCTACAGTAATCAAGACAGTATGGTACTGGCACAAAAACAGAAAGATAGATCAATGGAACAGGATAGAAAGCTCAGAGATAAACCCATGCACATATGGTCACCTTATCTCTGATAAAGGAGGCAGGAATGTACAGTGGAGAAAGGACAGTCTCTTCAATAAGTGGTGCTGGCAAAACTGGACAGGTACATGTAAAAGTATGAGATTAGATCACTCCCTAACACCATACACAAAAATAAGCTCAAAATGGATTAAAGACCTAAATGTAAGGCCAGAAACTATCAAACTCTTAGAGGAAAACACAGGCAGAACACTCTATGACATAAATCACAGCAAGATCCTTTCTGACCCACCTCCTAGAGAAATGGAAATAAAAACAAACAAATGGGACCTAATGAAACTTCAAAGCTTTTGCACAGCAAAGGAAACCATAAACAAGACCAAAAGATAACCCTCAGAATGGGAGAAAATATTTGCAAATGAAGCAACTGACAAAGGATTAATCTCCAAAATTTACAAGCAGCTCATGCAGGTCAATATCAAAAAAACAAACAACCCAATCCAAAAATGGGCAGAAGACCTAAATAGACATTTCTCCAAAGAAGATATACAGACTGCCAACAAACACATGAAAGAATGCTCAACTTCATTAATCATTAGAGAAATGCAAATCAAAACTACAATGAGATATCACCTCACACCAGTCAGAACGGCCATTATCAAAAAATCTAGAAACAATAAATGCTGGAGAGGGTGTGGAGAAAAGGGAACACTCTTGCACTGCTGGTGGGAATGTGAATTGGTACAGCCACTATGGAGAACAGTATGGAGGTTCCTTAAAAAACTACAAATAGAACTACCATATGACCCAGCAATCCCACTACTGGGCATATACCCTGAGAAAACCATAATTCAAAAAGAGTCATGTACCAAAATGTTCATTGCAGCTCTATTTACAATAGCCCGGAGATGGAAACAACCTAAGTGTCCATCATCGGATGAATGGATAAAGAAGATGTGGCACATATATACAATGGAATATTACTCAGCCATAAAAAGAAATGAAATTGAGCTATTTGTAATGAGGTGGATAGACCCAGAGTCTGTCATACAGAGTGAAGTCAGTCAGAAAGAGAAAGACAAATACCGTATGCTAACACATATATATGGAATCTAAGAAAAAAAATATGTCATGAAGAACCTAGGAGTAAGACAGGAATAAAGACACAGACCTACTAGAGAATGGACTTGAGAATATGGGGAGGGGGAAGGGTAAGCTGTGACAAAGCGAGAGAGAGGCATGGACATATATACACTACCAAACGTAAGGTAGATAGCTAGTGGGAAGCAGCCGCATAGCACAGGGAGATCAGCTAGGAGCTTTGTGACAGCCTGGAGGGGTGGGATAGGAGGGTGGGAGGGAGGGAGACGCAAGAGGGAAGAGATAGGGGAACATATGTATATGTATAACTGATTCACTTTGTTATAAAGCAGAAACTAACACACCACTGTAAAGCAATTATATTCCAATAAAGATGTAAAAGAAAAAAAAGTCTCAGTTGTGAAGCCCATCTGTAAGGGCAAGTGTTGCTATAAGGCTACAGAAGTTGCCATTTCTCTTAGCTGTGGACTAGAATTTTATCAACTCAGTGGGCATCCTGCATGTCTCAGGCAGAACAGAAGCATTTATGTATGATTTGATTAACAAAATAAATTAGTTGACATGTTAACACTAAATCTGGTAACAAAAACCTGAAAAACAGTGGGTTCATTGGGGCAAATAAAAGGTAAGGAAATTATTGGAGAACATTCAGTAATAGAACTTCTTCATCTTTACTGATGAGAAAACTATGGCCCATAAAGACAAGCCTGGACCAACATAATTCTGCAAGTGGGTGGCTGAATGTAATGACCGAACTAGAGAAATCAACGTTCTGGATGCTGGTCCAAGGCTACTTACAATTTTCTGTTTGCAGCCATACTCAGAAATCCTCCCTCTTAGACAGATCTGTGATTTATTTTTTCATCAGTACATACTGGTTACCTCTCCTACTACCAAGCCTTTGTTCCCTCTTGTAAAATGGGTATATAAATGGTACCTACCCCATACAGCTACTATGAGTATTCAATAAGATAATGCAGTTAAAGCACTTTTAACACTGCCTAGCACATAGTAAATACTCAACAAATGTCCATTCAATGAAAACTGGTATAGAAGAGTCCCCCAAGGCGTACCTCACTGCAAGATACAGAGGAGTTGGTAGCTCCAGCTCAATCTGATAACTGCCTTTATCCTTAGACAAACAATCCTGATTTTATTGGAGGGTAGCAGCTATGCCCAGCTACACTTGGTTGCCTCCCTTGCAACCACAGGGGGGCAATAAGATGAAGTTAGTGGACAGTGATTCCAGGAAATCTTTTAAAAATAGTGAAAACAGTGAAAAAGAAACGTTAAGCTCATAGCAAATTAGTAGCAGTTGTGGAGTTAGAACTCCTGCCTTGCCCCACTCCAGACAGCCCATAACAACACTATGAACAGCTACCATTTCTTGTTTCCCTTGTACCAGGTACACGTTAAACATCACAGTAATCCTGTGAAATATTATCCGTGTTTTACATGTGACCGGTAGTAGCATGACTCACTCAAGGTCACAGAGCTAGTAAGGGCAGGGGAAGTTCAGTCCAATTCTAAAGCCAAACCTTCTCTAGTCTTGAGTCCAAAGTTTTACCTAGATAAATAATAATATTTTCAACCTAAGTTGATGTATACAAATGCCCTGTGTTGAAAGTCGGGAGACTAGGATCATCTGTACAATGACTATCTGTGTGTCTTTGGACTAATCAAAACTTCTCTGGGCTTCGGCTGCTTCTGCAAAACGAGGGAACTGGGCCAGAATGAACTCTACAGTTGCTTCTAACCCTAAAATTATAATGTCCAAGTGCCAGCAGAGTCCAGGGACGCCCAAGCAGGCGGTAAGGGAGGCCGCGCCCGCGGAGGAAACCTTAAGCCGGGCAAGGAAACAGCTCCCCGCGCCCCGCCGCCCGGAGAAGGGAGAGCTTGGTCCATCTCCGGGGAGCCGGGCGAGACGGGGGGAGGGGGCGAGGAAGGCGGGGATAGGGAGCGGGGGAGCCGAGGAGCGTGCGCGCGCCCGCCGCCCGTGCCCGCGATTACCTGACAACGCCGCCTCGTCCTCCTCGCCGCGCACCGCGTCCGCCGGCAGCACGGCCAGCGGCGGCAGCCAGAAGAGCAGCCAGCACGTCCCCGGGGACGGCCGCATCCCGCCAGGCGGTCAGCTTCGCGCGGCCCAGCGGCGGGACGAGACCTGTGGGTCCCTCTCGTCCGAGAGTAGCGGAAATGCCGCGGGGCCCAGAAGGAGACCAGGCGCCGCTGCGGCCTGCGCGCGGGAACCCGGAGGTCCCGCCCCCCCCGCCGCCACCGCCCCGCTCGCGCCCTGTCCCGCCCCTCCCGCCTCCGGGGCCCTCCGGGCTCCTCCCCGTCTCACCCTGGAGGGTGTGGGGAGGAGCCGACCCTTCGTCTGAGAATTGTGCTTACAACTGCCCTGACCCGTGACTGTGAGGCTTTAGGGCTCAGTTGTCAGAGCTTCTCAGAGTCATACCCCCGGAAGGCGAAGGCCCTTCAGCAACCCTTTATTTAGAAATAAAAATCAGTTTATTTTTCCTTTTTGTTTGTAACAGTAACAGATTGGCAATTTGGTTGCTTAAATAGCATTGACTTTTCACATTTAAGTATAAACGGCATGTAAAACGTTCCCTCACCAATATATCCCCTAAAATTAACGTGTGTGTGTGTGTGTGTGTGTGTGTGTGTGTGTGTGTTTAAAAAGATGTAGAGAACAGGCTAGTGGTTGCCAGGGTGGGGGGAGGTGGGGGAACTGGGTGAAGGTGGTCAAAAGGTGCAAACTTCTGCTAGTTATACGATAAGTAAGTTCTGTGGATGTAATGGTGACTAAAGTTAACAACACTGTAACGAATATTTGAAAATTGCTAAGAGTTGATCTTAAAAGTTCTCGTCATTAAAAAAAAATGTGTAACTGTGATGAAACGGATGTTAAATAAATTATATGTGCAATATATACATATATCAAATCATTGTGTTGTACCCCTAAAACAAATACAGTATTATATGTCAGTCATATCTCAATAAACCTGGAAAAATATCTTGTGTGGTTTTAATATTGATAATGAGTATAGAGCTTGTAGTCTTAAACATTATTATACTGTACTTTTTTTTTTTTTTAAGGTCCAAACCCTCCTCAGGCCTTGGAAACCCATTAATGTGATTCAATATTTCCTACTAAACACTCGGTAGAACAAAAGGTCATTTCCTTTTTTCTAATTTTGGACTTCTGCTAAGGTACTTCAGAGAAGCCAGTTGTAACAGAAATCAACCTCTAAAACTAGCTTAGCCTCATTTTCCCCAAAGATCTGAGTAGAACTCACTAGACTTTCCCTGGCTTCAAAGTTAGGTTTAACCAACTGCCTTCAACCCCCTGGTGCCATGTGCACACCCATATATGGCTTTTTGAAAGTTCAGAAATCTTGTAAAGGACTCCTGGGGAGGATGATTTTTACAGATAAACTGTTATTACTTGAACTCCTACCTTGTCTTACCCTGCAGACTATCTCCAGAGAAATAGCAGAGACCCTGACCCCACTTGCCTCTTGCCCAACATTTTTTTTCCCTAACCATATTCATTTTGATTTAGTTTAATTTTGAATGGCACTACGAAACGTGGCTAAAAGAAACAGGTATATTCTTTTTCTTTTTTTTAACAGGTATATTCTTGAACGACAAGTGTGTTTTCCTACAGCTGTATCAGGTAGAGGAATAAAAGGACAGGAAGTAGTGTATTAAATTAATATTTAAAGTGCTATTCATGTAGCATACTCTTAATAAATATCTTTAGCTTCTTAGTAAAGAAGCTAACTCAAAACACCACATTCCTCTTTATAGGATAGCAATAAATTTTTTCCAGAGATAACAGACTCTTAGGAGGTGATAATTTTGTCATTGGGGGACCATGATGAAATCTGACCTAACCTCCCCAAACCTCTCTCTCATATGAAAACCTCTCATATGAAAATAGATAAGCTTTGTGGTGACAATGCAATGAGAAGAAGGGAAAAAAGACACCAAAGAACCGTGGAGAAAGAAATACAAGAAGACAGAATAAGGAGAGTGGTCAGATTTAGGAAGGCTCATAGGTCCTTTGACACATCATGGAACACTGCTTCCTTCTCATGAGGAGCAGATGGGATTAACAATCTGTGATTAGTGCAGTCTATTGTTCTTAAATTACACCAGCATTTGTGTGCCTCTTTCTAGGAGATGAACTATACTGATTAAACAAACGAAACCAAAACCAAATCCCATATAAACAGGACACCTGCAGAATCTTCTGTTCAAAGCCTCCTGGGATTATTATGCAGGTTTGCTTTCTATCTTTCTGTTAGAAAATAGAGAATATTTTTGCCCATCACTGGGTCAGTGAGGTGAGAAAGTTGTAGTTGGGGGGGGTCACCATTAAATTTGCCTAGATGATGTAAAACGATTAATTGTAACTGGATTTTAACACCAGCCCATACATTTCTACACCAAAAGAGATGCTTGAAAAAGGACAAAATTCATTATCTCTTTGAAGAAGTTGCCCAATTGTATTGCCTACAGATTTCAGCTATGGATTTTTCTTTTTTTAATAACAACATTGGCAATACTTTGAGTATTGTCACTGATGCTTTTGCTTCGGAAACAATTTTTTAAATTTGTTTATTTATTTATTTTTGGCTGCATTGGGTCTCCGTTGCTGCACGCAGGCTTTCTCTAGCTGCGGCAAGTGGGTGCTGCTCTTCGTTGCGGTGCGCGGGCTTCTCATTGCTGTGGCTTCTCTCGTTGCAGAGCACGGGCTCTAGGTGCATGGGCTTCAATAGTGGTGGCACGCGGACTCAGCAGTTGTGGCTCGCAGGCTCTAGAGCGTAGGCTTAGTAGTTGTGGCACACGGGCTTCGTTGCTCCTTGGCATGTGGAATCCTCCCAGTCCAGGGATTGAACCCGTGACCCCTGCACTGGCAGGCGGATTCTTAACCACTGTGCCACCAGGGAAGTCCCTCAGCTATGGATTTCTGGTAAACACCCCACGTCCGTCTCTAAGACAAAACGAAGCACTGCCACTTGGGGGATCTGGATCTCATAGATAGGGAAGAAGTTGGAACTCTTGCCAGAATGCTAGTTGTGTGGGTAATATGTAAATGTTTAGCATTGTAAATGCAGATTCCCAGGACATACCCTCCAGAGACTGATTCAGTCCATCGGGCGTAGAGCCCCAAATGTCTCTTCTTAACATGTAACCCAAGTGAATCAAGAGTATTAGGACTAAATTTTGAGTTTTACAAGTTTCACGCTTGACAGTAAGTAGAATTTTGGGCAAGTTTATAATCACAGCTAAAATACTGTGTGTGCATTTTATGTAATTCATATTGTTAGAATATGACTTATACTTATTTTTAAAAAATGTATAATAAAGAGCTTCCTTAATATTATTTTAATGACCCAAGTTCTTTAATTCCATATGACTATTTCCACATGGTGTGAAAAAGATTACAATTCAAATTTCTGCCTCTGCATTTTTATTTCTAGAGTTCTTGCTCTTCATAACTAATTAATTTTCTGTAACTGTCATAGGGTTATAATCAGTCATTATGAATCAGAAGTAAAATTTAGCTCATGTCAGAAATTATTTAGGAGCTTTCACTTGGTTTCTAGGTAGGTAGAACATTTAATTAAATGTATTAGAAGAAATAGGCAGTTCTACTACTTTGGGTTCTTTCATAAAGAAAGATTTAGAAAGACTGTAATGATATCCACCAATGCCGCAAAGATTATAGAAGTTATATGCCATCATTTCTTCCTTTTAAAAATTCCCATTTTTAGAATTTTATATATCAAGAGAAAAAAACAGGCTGTTCAAGACTTCTCCATAAAAGAAAAGAATAAAAATAGATGTTGACTTGTTGGATCATGATTTTCTTAGCATATTTCATTTAAGAAATACTTTGAAATTGACTTGCCATATACTAGTTCAGTAATTTTAATAATTCATGTCAGAAGTAAAAGATAGGTAGCTTTTCAGTATGAATAAATGATGTTGGGAGGGATTAGAATATAATTTATTAAGAAATACATCAAATGTTCTCTAAACTCAATTGCTAAAGTCCTTGATAAAAGATAATTGGTCAAATTCAATTCAGATCTTTCCATTCAAATTGAGAGCTGTGGAATCCTTTAAAGTAGTGGTTCTCAAATTTTGGTGTGGATAAGAGTCCCATCTCCAAAGACTCATATTCAGTAGGTACAGTGTATGGCCTGGGAATCCACATTTACAATTCTGAGGCAAATAGTCTTTTGACCATGCGATAAAACTGGTGGGGAAAAAATATTCAAAAGTGATTGATGATTAGTTGATGATGGCTGGAAAATAGTACTGTATCTATGGGAAAAGATGGATGTTCTTGGTTAATCTGAGGAAAAGAAGGTTGAAAAGTTGCAGCTTTCTAAGAGCTAATTTAAGGAACTAGGATACAGAAAAATAGTCACCAATTATTTGTTATGTTTTCTTAAGAGCAAAAATGAAATAGGTTTAAATTGCAGTGAGTAAGCTCAGGATTGCATGTAAAATGCATACATTTTCCCAGCACTGGGATTCTAGTTTATTTCTTACCTGGACACCATCCAATCCTGCCACTCCACTTGACTTGATTCCTAAAGAAGCTCTGCCAAAGTCTTCTTTTCTGCCAACTCACCCTTAGGGAGCCTTTTTCTTAATTGGCCATTCTCTACAATCTTGGTCCTCCCACCCTGCCCCCTGCCCCACTGGAGTAATCTCTCCAAAAAATAATTTATAGTGAGATAATTATATTTGAAAGTCTTTTCTTCCTTCAGGGGAAGCTATAAACTGCAGATATCCTTTTAGTTAAGTTCTTTAACTGCCTTTATTAGTCATTTATTGACAATGTAAAAGAACTGTGTGTAATTTAAGGAGCCCTTCAATTCAGTTAAAATAGAGATTTTCTCTTCTTGCTTTCAGTTTCCCACCAGCTACTTCAGGATGTCCCCAGTGGTCACAGTCTACTCAGAAAAATTCTTCAACCTATATTCTTTCAAGTGTTTTTAGAAAGAAATCTTTTTTTAAAAGGGTATGTGGAGGCTGGGAGATGGAGATAAATATGTCTCAGGTTTTGTTCTTCTGCTGTTTCTCTCCCCCTTTGCTTCTGTAAGTCAGATCTCAATAGCCTCTATTTCCAATATTGCTGTCTCTTTGTATTCTATATCTGGCTTGACCCAAGTGTATTATGGAGTTGTTACACAGATTTTTGACTCCCTTATTTTTCCAGGATGTTATTGTGACCATGGGTGTGGAAAGACAGTGTAAGCTACTAACTGTTAGGAAGAAATTTATAATGTTTTATTTATAATAAAATACTTTATTTTTGAAGAAAATTGACACAAGAAAGTCTATCTGTTCTGAGCAGTTTCTATAACCAAATCATAATTTCTAGATTAGTCATGTTTCAATAGAGATTGTGGCAAGTATAAATAATTCAACTAATGTACTTCTGTTTTGCTAATACTATGAATCCTATTTTGCCGATAGAGTCTATCTGACAGAAATTAGATATATTTTTGCTTGTATTAAGCAAAGTCTGTAAAGCTGGATGAAAAAAATAATTATTTAGGACATTTCAGTAACATTCTGCCCAACTCAATTACACTTGTTTACTTT